GGGGGGGGGGGGGTCAAGCGAGGCAGAGGTCCAATGGCGACCGCACCAAACCCAGGAGCTCGGATAAAGTGACACAAAGCCCGATACATGAAGAAATGGTCAATTCTTATGGTATCGAAGCAGATGGAATTGACGATAGTCGAGAAGTAGAAAGCGAGGCAATATGCATGGCAACGCAACGGGTGAAGTATTTTCGTTGACGCACATCAATCTATCGGTGTTTGGCTCCCGGCTCAAAACAGGATGGCCTGCAAAGAATCCTGCACATCCGTCAAACGGCGCAGGAATCAGTAGCCGCCGACGCCGCTGCCGACGCCGCGAAAGCCAACGACTCCGTGCCTGGAGAAAATGGCGGCGATTTCAGGGCCACCCTACCTGCCGCAAGGATGGAAGCAGCGGCGGCTGCTGTGCGGACGGAGCCGCGGTTGTTGGCTGCAACTTGGAGTCACATTAACCAGGTATCTACAGGCTTGCTCGATTGTTATCACGTACAGCGCGGGGGGGGAGGCAGCCACCGGCGCTAACGGCTTCGGAAATGCCTGGTTTCGACCGGGTGGCACGTGGTGTTGTTGTCACAGTAGCCGTTCATGACTGCGAACGATTAGGGTTGGGTGGCGGGCGATTTGGGGTACTAGTAGTGCCCCGTTTCGCTGTTTCTTTCTGGTGTGCATCGCCACTGCAACGAAGTTTTTGGCTGTGGTTGTTGTTGTTGTTTGCTTTTTCACCGGGGGTCTCTCTCTCTCGGTTGCCCTGCTGCCATGTCGAATCTATTGCCTGGCCCTTTTCTGCTGTGGGCGAATGTTTGTCCTTTGCGTTGGTCGTTTGTTGCATTGCGACACTTTCTTTTGGTCTCTCCAGGACAAGAAACAAACAACAACGCCAGCAAGAGCAGGAATAGTCCCGAGTCTGGCTTGGGCTTTGGGCTGAACCGGGCCATGAATGCGTTTCACCGCTGACTGGTCGGAGTTTGTTTCTCGCGCCGCCTCTGTCCCATGAGTCTGGAGCGTTACATTTTGTACGAGCTCTTTGCCGTGCCCAATGCCTTCGGAAATGAGTTTTTGAGCTTTTGGGGGATTAAACCCTCATTCACGTATCGTTCGGTAACCAAAACACCCCGCGGTATTCGACTTGCGGTCGGTGTCTGGTGTCCGACGCGCGCAGGACCGCTCGAGGCAACCCCGCTGCGGACCGAAGACCCCAGAAGAACGGCTGAAGGCCATCGAAGACGCCAAGGCTGCCCTCCGATCACGAGTCGCCCTCCGCAAGGCGTCGCAGTCAGAGCAGGCAAGCCTTGTTCCCGTCATGGAGAGAGGTCCTTCTCTATCTCTCTCTATCTGTCTATCTATCTATCTGTATCTCCCTCTATCTCTCCCCCCCCTCCACGGCGCTTCGCGCTTGGTGATGTGAGAGCCTGGTCCGGTGAGAACCCGGCGTGCTCCGTCCCGGCTTTGTAGGGATGCGAGGTCAATGGTCAAACGACTACGGCATGCACGACTATGAGTACACCCCCCCCCCCCCCCCCCCCCCACTTTTTATCTATCTCCCTCTTTTTTATTTTGGGACTAATTTTTTTTTCAAGAATGGGAGAAAGTAAGCTTCCTTCCCGAAACTGCCACAAGGGACCCCCCGGCTGTCGAGCGGGACTGACTCCTAAATGGACATTGGGGAAGGGCGTGTTTGGTTTGGTTTTCACAACCCATCCCGCTCGCAACCCATCCCGCCCGTTGGTTTGTCCCTAACAACACATGTAGACAGACACCCCCTCGATGATGTTTTTTCCTGGGGTGGAGACGGACCCCGTTTACGGCTTTTCTCGTGTGTTTTTTTTTTGGAAAGTTGCGTCATTGTCTTCTGCCTAGTAATTTGCCCCTCGTAACGGGTTTGTTGTGACACGTTGCACAAATGCGTGTTTCGGTGGTTGCCCGGACACGATATCTGACGTACCCTCTGCCTCAGTGCTGCCCGTGCTCGTGTAGAGCCCTGAGTGGGACCTCGTTTCTGTTCGGTACTTGTCCATGCAATAAGCACTGAAGTCATTCAGGAAAACACGAAGAAGGCTCACTCTCTTGAAGCCCGTGTGCTGATCAACCAGCAATCGAAGGAGCAAGACAAGTGAATATGTGTTGATTGTGTGGTGGTAAAGAGCTTCCGGATGGCGGTAGGGGATGGCGGTACGGCCTTGTCTCTGCGTTACGAAGACCGCGGTGTGTACTTACTTCGTCTCGACAACCAAGATAAGGATGCGGTGGAGCAATCAAATAAGTATGCCCCGCCACCCCAACTTCCCACTCCGTTGTTCGAAGCAGGAGTTTGTGAATCAGCAAGGGACCACCAGTCGCCGCCCGGTGAGCCTGGGCCGCAGCGAGCTCGGCAGCTCCAGCCCTATCAGCTCCAGCTTCGGCGGCAGCGCTAGCGCCATCGGCAGCCGCAGCAGCCGCGGCGGCGGCGGCGGCCAGACCCCCACTTTCGCCGTGACACACCCGACCTATGGCGAACAACCTCAGCAGCAGCAGCAGCAGCAGACGGCTGCTTCTGACGCGGGTGGGGTGACACCGAGCGGAGGCCTTGCTGGCGTGTACGACGACGACGACGATGACGGCGGCACAGCTCCCGCTTCCTCCGGAGGCGCAGAGGCGGCCGACCAGGGCCTCGGCTCCTCGGACGGCGCCAGCGGGTGCGCCGCGGGTGCCTCGGGGGGAAACGGGGCGGTGGAGGCGGCGGCGGCGGCCGCCATGGCTCTCGAGGCCGGGGACATGACCCTTTCCGGGGGGGCGGCTGTCGCGCTGGCGTCCCCGGGGAAGGACAGAGGCGTTTCGGACGGGGAGGCGCCGGGCGGGCTGCTGATGACCGGACGCCGTGGGAAGGTGCACCTGTCGGGGAGTTACACGGAGGCGGCGGCGGCGGCGGTGGCGGCGGCGGCCGCGGCGGCCGCGGCGGCCGCGGCGGCGGCGAAATCGTCGTCGTCGTCGGTATCGCCGACGAATAAGTCGGCGTTCGGAACGCCCCCTCGTGTGGTGAGTTCTACTGCTGAGTGTTCGGCGGTTGCCTTCTGCTGCAGCGTTTTGGTTTCGTGGCGCGCGCGGGGGGGGGGGTTAGCTGCCCCTTCTGCCTGGAAAATAACTGCTGTGCTCGCGAGAGTTGTAGTGCGCTTTTTCCTCGAGCCATGAATGTCAGTCCAGGGGGTATGGTGTCTTACGTGACCTACGGTAGGCCGCGGCTGCGCGACGGCGGTGTAGTCGTCTAGGTTGAACATTTTGTTCTTCGTCACTGCACTTGTGGTGATAAGAGTTTTGGTATTTGGGCTGTGCATCGGATCACGCTGTGTACCCTTTCTCCGGCCGCCGTGCTGGTCAAAACTACCGTAGAGGTAGGGCCCATGGAGTTTGTGCTGGACTGCTGTGCCTGTTAATGATCCGCACTGGGTGGTGTAGGCGGGGAGTCTCTGACGCCGTGCTGTCAAATTCAGGTACTTTTTGTAGTGCGGTGTGTTTAATCTTGCTGTCCTTGTTCTTGTTCGCAGGCCCGAAGCGGGAGCGCGTCTGAGGGGAGGTATCTTCACAGCCCACCTCCTGGGCCCCTCCTTGTCCACCCTCAGCGCCGACAAGCAGCGGTGAGAGAGAGAGAGAGAGAGAGAGGAAGAGAAAGATGTCAAGATAGAAGTATTTTGTAGATGACAGATGGCAAAAAGAGTAGGGACAGAGGAGAGATGTAAGGGTGGCGAGAAACAGAGAGACACGAGAGAGACGGCGAATCTGTGTGTTACCTTTCTTATCGTTGAGAAGATCGAGCGTTTTTCGTACATTCACAGTGTTTTTGTTTTATTTTTTTCGTTCAAGAAAATGGCTGCGTTCGACAAAGCGGACTTGCCGTGCAGACGCCCATTCACACACAACAATTGACGTCTTGTGACGAGCAGCTATCGGTGCTCGTCACCAATGAGCACAACCCGGCGTTGTAGGGATGCTAGGTCTATGGTCTATGGTCTAACGACTACCATTGCTACGACATGCGTTTACATGAGTGCACGCACACACACACACTGGACGGTTCCCCCCATTTGTTTTCGACGATACCGTTTGGCCGTACCAGAGACAAAACCGGAGCGGGTTACGGATCAACACCTCGTCTTCCGGTGACGAGTCGGCGGGAGAAAAGGCGGGGCGGCAGCAGCAGCAGCAGCAGCCTCAGCAGCAGCAGCAACAACAGGCCTTCGACCGATCGCAACTGCCGCGGTCGCCCACCGCCGAGAGTCGGAAGCTCAGCAAGGAGGCAGCCGAGTCTCGCGCGGGGGGGGGCTGGGTGCAGGTGGAGCTTCCGCCCGGTGCCGTCCCTGCCGCTGCTGCCGCTGCTGCTGCTGCTGCTCCTGCTGGAAGTGGGGGCAAACAGAACGTGAGCGTATGTATTCTGTGTTACTGTGTTGTGTACTTCTTTCAATTGTGGACTGGGTATGTTGTTGTGCTGCATGCTTCTTTTAAATCATGTGTTGTCGTGTTGTGTGTTTCTTTATGTTGTAAATCGGCGGCGCTAACCTAACCTAACCTAACCTAACCTAACCTAACCCGGCCAACTTTGGCAGGAGGGGGTAGGTAGGAGTAGGTACGTACACTGGTTTATCGGTGGGTGTTGGATTTTGGGTGCGCTTCAAGCCACTGTTTCTTGTGCGTGATTGTGTTTTTGACACACCGGTGTGGTACGCCCCAATACAGGCGGAGCATTCTCGTAATGGCGGCGGCGGGGGCAGCGACTTCGCGTGGAGTAAAGTCGGCGCTTTTCCTTTCGGACAAGGGGTGAGCATTTGTCCAGCTGGCAGCGTTCATCCGCGAACAACTTTCGTGTGCCAGTACGCACAGCAGGTTTCATGCCCTTTCGTCGTGCGTTTTTTTTTTTTTTATACGCATAGATGTACGCATGGCGTGATCGCCACTGCAGAGATGCAGTCGACCTGCGAAGGTCGGTCAAAATCGACCCAGGTCAATTCACACTCCAGTAACAATTCTACTTTTGTTATGCAGACACTGCAAATCCTAGAATTTCCGCGACCGATTTTTAGATATTCTGCTGCAAACACCTCTAGCTGTATGGTGGTGCTGATCCAAAAGTGTTCACGTCCTTTATGCGTTGCGCACGCATAAGGAGACGAGCAAGGTCCGATTCCTGTTAAGTGTGGATGACCATGTTTCTCAGACCCGCCTCGTTTAGTTTCGTTGCGTGCTTCCATGACCTATTGTAGGTCTTCATGAGAACATGCCCCCCCCTCTTCCCGCCTTCCTGCACAAGCGGGACGTTGTGGTTTCGCGGAGACAACGGCGCGATCATCCGCCTAGCCCCCGTGAGCTTCACCTTAGCCAACCTTCCATCGCTGCATGGACACCCCCCCGCCCGGCGCCTTGAATGACACAGCAAATATGTTCCCCCTTCCACCGCGTGATTGAGCAGGACATGCCCCCGACTCCATCGAAACCGATGTCCCCTCTCGTACAGCCGCGGACGGCATCGAGCTTCCCGGTGGGGAACGGCGGCGGCGGCGGTGGCAGCAGCGGTGGCGGCGGCGTGGGCTTTCGAGCAACGGCAGACGGCGAGGGGCGGGCGGGGGGGGGAGGCACCACCGCCGGCGCCGCGGGTGCTAGTAGCTTGAGCGGCGTCGGCAGCATCGCCGACATCGGCGGCGATCTAGGAGACGGGAACGCACCGGTGTGTACGTTGATAGCGTTGCGTATTTGCTGTGTTTCTTTTGTGGCCGGCTCTTCCATGTCGTTTTTGCAAGCGCGCGAGATGTTGTCGATCTCACGCGCGCAGAGCTGATGTTACCAGTTGAGGTTCGCCTCCGATGCGGGTGGATTTGCTTTTTTCGTTAAGATAGTTTTTATGTGCGGTACGTGAGTGTTTGCTCGTTTGCGTTTCTCCCCACGCAAACGCGGTCGGTGTATTTTGCTCTTTTGACGCCCAAGCTTGGAGTCTTCGCGCGTGGCTGTGTACCTTTCCTCTCTCAAAACGTCGAGCAAGTCAGGTTGTTTACAGTGGGGGTCCCCCAAAATATGGTGGTTCGCCCCACATATTTTGGGTGAAATGGGCTGGTTTGACAAGTGAATAAGGCGGCTGCCCCAATCAAGGCGGTCATTATCAGCTGCCCCACCGCCGCCTCCTTCGGGGAGCCCGACTGTATTGCACTCCGACGCGATGAGACGGCCTTGATCTGGTGCGTCTTCCCGTCCACAGGTGTCCCCCATCGTGCGCATGCCGGCGGAGGAGTTCTCCGCCCGCTCGCTCGGAGGCATGTTCGGGGCAAAGTCGCAGGAGGAAGTGGAGGCAGAGGAGGTGTGGCAGCGGGGGTCCACGGCCTTGATGCGAGAAGACACCATCTCTCCGCCGGCGCATTCGCCGTCGCCGCAACCGGCCGCAGCTGCTACGGCCTCGGGTGAGGGCACCGGGAGAAGCGGCGACGGCGACGGCGGCGTCCCGTCGACCGCCAGGCCATCGACGTCGGCACCTCCTGGCGGAGCAGCCGCGGAAGCGGCCTCTGGTCCTCCTTCCTCCCGTGCTGCTGCCAGCGGCGGCGGCGGCGGCGGGTTTTCCTCGGTGGAGGCGGCATCGAAGGACGTCGGGGATTCGTTGAGCGGGAAGGGCGGGAGCGAGAGAGCGAGGCCCGGGAACCAGAAGTGGCGGGAGATCCGCGACAAGGCGCTCGCCGCGAACGGCGGCTCGTTCACGACCGCGAGGCGATTGGCGAACAGCGCGGCGTCGCCGAAGCCTAAGCTGGAGTTCAAGAGGAGGTAGGCGTGTACGTATTGGTTGTGTGACCGTTTTTTTTGTTTTGGGGGGTCTCGAGATGTACACACCATGTTGCATCCGTCCGTGGTACTGCCCGGTATGGTTGCTAGGTTAGTTTAGTTCGTAAAAGGAGCTGTCCTGCGCTCGTCCCGCGTTTGGAGGAGAGAGAGAGATGCTTTGGTTTCCTTGTTGTTTTGGGGGAGGGGGGCGACAGCTAGTTGTCGAGTGGACCACGTCAATTGCGACTGTTTTTTTTGTGGACAAAGAAAATTTTGTTTTAAGCCTTTCGATTTTTTTTTTGCCACGTTGGTACTTACAGCAGGTATGACCTGAGACTGCAGCAGCTCACTGCAACAAGTGAATCCTATACTTGGCCCCAGTGAGTGCTGGGTGCGCAGCGGATTGGAACGGATTTTCAGTACTGAGCACTCGGCGCTCTGTGCCTTGGCTTGTCTCTCTTGTTTGTCGCCGCTGCATCTTCACTTGGCCGACCCACGACACCCACCCAACCCAACAACCGCTGCCGCTGCTGCTCGCTACCCCTCTTGACCCTCCTCCAGCGCACTGCCTACCCTGGGACAGCTGCGGCGCAACTCGGTGTCGCCGACGCCGTCTTTGCTCGCCGGGGGGGTGAGGAAAGGGAGCATCATCCGCAAGAGCAAGAGCGACTGCAGTGGCGATGAGGGCGGGGAGGGTAGCAGTAGTAGTAGTAGTAGTGCCATCCGATCCATCGGGACCCCCGAGGAGGAGGAGGAGCGCATGCAGGCAAAGAGGAGGGAGGTGGCCGAGAAGAAGGCTATCGCGGCCAGGGCGGTCGCCGCGAGAGACTTGGCGACCCAGCGCGCGGCGGAGGCGGCGCGGGCCGCGGAGGCTGCCGTTACAAACGCGGAGGAGTTGGCGGCGGCGGTGGCGCGGGGAAAGGCTGCCCAATCGCCCGGCACGGACACGCCGGCCGTTGCGACGACCGCTCCGCCCACCATCGTCGTCCAAGCCGCCGCACCCCCGGTTGGCAACGAGCAGCACCACCCGGAGGGCGGTGCTGTTGAGGTGGTGGCGCCGGCAGCCGCAGACGCAGACGCAGACGCAGACGCAGACGCAGATGCCTCCGGGCTGTTGCCGGTCGCTGAGCGCGAGGCCACCGACGGGTTGAAGGATGATGGGCTTGTTGCCGCCACGGTTAGCGCTTCGACGACGGTCTCGGCTGTGGTGGCAGGGCAGAAGGAGGAGGAGGCGCCGAGCAGCAACCAGACGGTAGTGCAGGGGGGTGAACAACCTCCCGCCGCCACGACGCCGGGTCCGGTGCCGATGGCCGTTTCGGGAGCAGAGTCGTCGGCGGAGAGCACCGGGGTCGCGCAGCAGCAGGCGGAACCGGCGCCGGCGCTGCTGGAACCAACAGGGGAAGGGGAAGCAGCAACAGCTGCAGAGGGGGGCGTAGCGCCGACATCAACCGCCGTGCTGACGCCGACGGGAGGAACGCCGCCGGCAACGGCTGCTGTCGCCGTCCCGGCAACGGTGGTAGCAGCAACCCCAGCAGTCACGCTTCCAGCGGCAGCGGCAGCGACGGCAACGGCTCCTCCTCCTCCACCCGCAGAGGCAGCACCAGCAGCGCCAGGAGCAGCAGCGAACAAGCCGGCGGCGGCCGCCGCCGCCCCTGAGAAGAGGGCCGTGAGCACCAGCCCCTGCGCCAGCCCGAGGATCCTGTACGGCGGGCGAGACTTCCGGGCGAGGCTGCTGGCGCCCGGCCTCGGCGCCGGCGGCACGCTCGGCGGGAGGCGGGAGGTAACGGCAGTGCTGTAGGTTACACGCGTCTAGGTGTTGTCGATATGGGTGTGGGGGGAGGGGGTTTCACGGGGTATGCGCGTGTAGGGCTGGCTGGGGGGAGAGTTTACGCCGCCGTTTTTTTTTTTTTGACGTTTCGTGGAACACCCAAGCGGGTTGGATTTCGTCGTCGTTGTTGCAACGGCCGCTTGCGAGGTGCCACCGTTTACTCCAAATTGCTTGCCGATGTCGTTTGCTGCCGTACGGTATGCGGAAGCAAGCGTTGCGGAAGAGGGTTTGGAGTCTTACGCTCTGCGGGCCGGCGAGGGGGTTTCCGCAGGCTTGCGAGCATTTTTTCCGGGGCGGCTTCGTCCCCCGCCTCTCCTACACCAGCGGCGTGCTGCTAAATTTACCATCCTCTCGCTGTCGGCCCACCTCAAACTACCATGCTTTTTCTCCGCGTGTGATTTCTCCTAACGTTTGTTTGTGCCGCAGTTGCCGGTGAGGGCGGGGGACGGGACCGGGGAAGAGACTTCCCCGGTCAAATCACCCGGTTTGTCGCGAATACAGTCGGAGGGAGGGCTCACCAACATCGTAGAGGCTAAGTCCAGCTTCGCCGTCAAGCAGCGAGGATTGGTGGCAGGGTGAGTTCGGTTAAGCTATTTTTTTATCATGCCCAAAACCACGCGTCTTTTTTGTCGTCAAGGTAGAAGCTTGATCTGATGTTGTTCAGGGCGTCGTTCTTTGTGTGGTGCTGTTTGTGAAAGGTGCGGGCTTGTGTTGCTGCTGTTGTCGGTGTTGTGGCAGGGGGTGGTGTTTTTTGTTGTATGTTCCAAACGCCTCTAGGCGGCCGTCGTTGTGAAAAAGCTGACCCAGCGTCGTAGCTCTGCTCTTGTATTATTTTCTCTTGTTTCTTGGCGATGGTAGTCCGTCTGCGCGCGACAGACGTTCGTCACCGCGTCTGCTTCCTCCAAGTCTGGTGGTACGTCGACGGCTGTTTTTTGTCGCATCCTTCTGCATCGCTCTCTCGGGGCGGATTTTTCCTCTACGGCTCACCTTGTGTGGTCTGTGCCACTCTTTATGCGAAGGATTTGCTTTAACCGTTACCTTGTCTGATACGTCGTTTTATCGCACTCTTGGAACGTTCAGGAGACCTTCCCGAGAGCGCAGTGGTTTCGTTGCCGCTGACACCGTCAAGAAGGGGCTGGGACCCGCCGGCGCATTCGCGGGGAACTCCAACTGGCGGGTAGAAGCGAGCAGGTTAGGGACACAAACTCTGCTGTTTATTTATTAGCCCTTGAGTTATCTTCGGTGTTATGGTTGTTGTCGCCGCCGTCGCCGTTGTCGTCATCAGGGGCAACCACACAGGGGTTCCTTTCTTGTTGTTTGTCAGCGTGTGTGGTTTGTGGTTTGCATGCATGCACACCGCCCGTTTTTATGTGAAACGGTCGATGGTTTCTCAAGGTTTTTTGTTTTCGGTTCCGACTATTTAGTGCCGTACGGTCTGCTGCGCTCTAGATTCATTAGACCCTACCGTTCTGTAAGAAATCGCTTGGCGCTGTCGCCCACCGCTCTAGTTCCGATCCGGCAACGAATGCCGCCCCCACCGCCCACCCACCCCCGCTTCAGAGAAAAAGAGAAGTCCGCTGCCGACGTTAAGGGCGACGGGCACGGAGGATTCCACAACCCGATGGCCGCGCTGCGGGCGCAGCAGCAGCAGCAACGCGCCCAGCAGCAACAAGCCCGGCGAGTCCGGACGGGATCGGAGGACTGGCAGACGCCACCGGCGACCAGCGCGGGCGTTGACGAAGCCGGCGGCGGAATCAGCAGGGTGTCGTCGCCTTCATCGGAGCCAACGTCAACAACATCACCGCGTGCGTCGGGGATGGAAGCGGCCGGTACCCCCGCCGACCCGGCACCAGCTCCGCTAGCGATGCCTGCGTGGATGCTGTCGAAGGGGATTTCGGGGGCGGGCGGGCGGGCGCTGCGGAGCCCCCCGGGGGGCAGGTTGCTGCGGAGCAGGGTGTCGCCGGCGCGCGGCTCGCCGGCAGGAAGAAGGCACGGCTTTGGCAGTGGCGGTGACTTGTTATCCCGCGGGTCGGTGGGGCGGCCGCTGTTGTCGTCGTCTTCGACGACGTCGTCGCCGGACCGGCCGGCGCCTGCGCTGGTGGCAGCGGCGGCGGCGACAGCGGCGTCCGCCCTCCCCACGGAACCGGGGAAGGACGAGGACGACGCATCAGCTAGGGATACAGCCGCTGATGCTGCCGACAGTACCACCGAGAACACGGGTGGTGATGGCGCGCGGGGCGACGACGTTGCCGGGTCGGGGCCTGGCTCGGAATCGGTCGAGGTCGGCGGTGGCGTTGCCGTTGAGGGCGGCACGGCCCCGGATGCCGAGCTCCTGTATAACTAACACCCGTTTTAATAGAACCACGCATAGTCACAACTGAAGACTAGTGTACCTCAAGAAAAACACGCTTGTAGGGCACATCTCTCCCGTGAAAACAGTGCCGCAGACAGCGAGCACTGTTCAAACGAGTAAAGAAAAGACAGCCAAACACCGTCCAGACCTACCGAATCTCTATGTGAAGAAGTACCGCAATTGTGTACGAAATATCGTTCAGTTCCCTCATAAACGCCTGACCAACTAGGTTGGTGTACTGTTGTTGTTGCTGTTG